TCACCTTCGTTATTTGTTTTAAATCACGTATGTCGGTGGGCCACAAGATATGACAAAAGCCATGTCGGATTAGACGGAAAGATTACACGACAATTAATGTTAGAGGGGTGGGGCTGGGTAACATAATGAAGATTCCAACCAGCAGTTGCTCCCCGATTTAAAATATCAGAGAGACCAGTATTGGACAACAGCGATACAGGAAAACAAGGAGGATGAGTGGGGGAGAGTGAAGGAGGACAGACATCAACAAATCAGGAATGGTTTTAGCGTAAACGTCGAAGGTAATAAACAAGCTTGCAGATTTTATCAACAATGGGACTCGACATCGAAGGAGACTGAGAAAGTGAAATACAAGGTAACACCCAGGTACCAGAAAGAAGAGACCTAAGTGAGTAGAATGTCAAAGAATTAAAGAATAAGCGATTTACGCATTAGAAAGACCTACTGAACGGATGTCTGACTGCTGAGTGGAATACCGTCTTCCCACGATCATACTGAGACATCATGCAAATCGTCCTTAAGAAACTGGAGATCAGTTCCATTTTGGACACGGTAACCAACGGCCATATCAGTAACATGTTCAACACATAGACAGTCGTTGGGCGATTACAGATGGTCAAGGTGCCGCAAAAAGAGGTTAGGGGACAAAGTGGAAGCCCGGAACACTTCAACTACTTGGAAAAGGAAAGTATTTCCGTGTAGAACACCACTCGCCAATGTTAGTTCTGGTGGGAAAAGCGCGCACATCGAGAAGCATATGTTTGCGCTATTGATTTCCGGTAAGCACATAAAAAAAATTCGTCGTTTTGAACTGCGAATATTGGGAAAAGGGAGTCATTCCTTCGAAAATAACTCCGAAGTTGGAGCATTCTGTCGGAATTTAAGCGGATTTTGGTAATGGGAGAATAGGTCGTCTCGGGTTTTCCCATGCTGAACAAAGTTCGGTCGGATGTGGTTTTGTAGCCCTACCTGAAGTAAACAAATCCCAGTCACCTCCAATACGGGACCGGTGGTAATAGGGCTTTAGAGAGAGAGAGAGAGATAGATAGATAGAGAGAGAGAGAAAGGGGGATGCGCTTTATTTTGAAATCGTATGTTCAAAATTTTCAGCAAAAAAATTGGCTCCATTCACTATGGGCAGTAACTAAGTTAATAGATTATTCAAGAGTCAAAGTTTAACACAAAGAAACGATTATTATGGGGATAGTTCAAGTCTTCGTTTCTGTATTTCTGTCTCTTCGCACGTAAGATAGCGCGCTAGGAATGGCAATACAGAAGCTCGATAAGCCGATGTGCAGCAGGATACAAGTTGGAAGTTGCGGCGCATCAGGCGGGAAGACTTGGCAGACATAAGATCGGAATGTAGGGGATGGGCAACGTCATCTAGAATTCGACCAGCAAATTGCTTGACCGCATTGAAGTGTCGTTGTAAGATAGTGTCAACTAAAAAAATGTAAGAAACACCAGCAGCAGAAGAGAACATGCGGAGGACTCGTTTCAAAATTAAAAGATCCTTTTTTAACAAAGCAGGAAAAATGACATGAGAACAGTATAGGATAAGAGGAAGAATGCAGGCATCAATAAATCGCCAGACTAAGGGTTGAGGTGTGTGGTAGGAACGTAAACGACGTATGTAGTAAAGAAGTTTACGAACTATAATAAATAGGGACTCAATATGGAGGGAAAATGAAAGATTTGAGGACAAAGTAACGCCGATATACCTGAAAGAGGATACTTCGTTAGGAAGAATGTCAGAGGAATCAGGGTTAGGAGAGGGCCGCAGTCGAAAAATACACTGAACAGATTTTTGCTTGTTAATTAGGATACCATTTTCCTCCGACCACGCTAGGACATTGTTTAGGCCATCTTTTAGAGACCGGAGGTGTGTCTGACATTTGAGAGGGTGTCCAACAACCACATCGTCAGCATACTTGACCAAAAGACAGTCATTAGGGGACCTGAGATCATCAGTGTGGAGGGAGAAAAGGTGAGGGGATAGAATGGAACCTTGAAGAACACCGCAGTCATTGGGAAGGGTCGACGATTTCCGCTTGCCAGATTGGACAAATTGGGTGCGGAAGCTAAAATAATCGCTCAGCCAAGAGACGACCCAGCCTGGAGAGCCACATGCGGAGGTTTTGGAAAGGAGAAGAGGACGCGGGACGGTATTGAAGGCGGAGGAGTAATCAAGAAAAGCGCACGCATACTCGCGGCAGCCCTTGTCTAATGCTTTTAGAGCAGAGTGGACCACAAGAGCGACAGCATCTAAAGTACTCCGTTTAGCTTTGTATGCAAATTGTAAGGGGTTGGAAAAACTGGAAGAAAAAGGCTTTATGATATCTAGGGCAACTCTTTCAGCAAGATTTAGTATTGCAGAGGAGCAGGCAATTGGGCGAAAAGATTTTAAAGGTGAAGCCGGCGAACGCACAGGCAACGAGGTCAAATAGTTGCATGCAAAAGAAAAGCTATTGGGAGCGCGTGGTTGTACTTTAAATGGTTGAGAAATAATTGTGCTAACCCCTAACCCTAACCTTTAACACTAACCCCCCAACCATAACCCCTAACCATAACTCCTAACCCTAACCCCTAACCCCAACTCCAACAGTATTGTGTCCATCAGGTGGGGCTACCAAATCACATCCTACCCGAATTTCAAAATTTTCTCTGTGCTAAAATGAAGATCATCCCATGGCTGCAGAATCAAAAGTTAAGAGAGACGAGACTGGTATGTAAAATGTCATTTATGCGGAGGCAGAACAAACAGAAGCAAGGGAGGATGTAATGGCTGGGCATAGCTTATTAGTCAGTCATGCACGAACCCCAGGCTTTCATAACTCAGGTCTGGCAACCAGGCTCCTTGATTATCGAACAACAAGCAAAACGTTCGACTACTAGGTCATCAACTCGTTGCCCCATTGGCTAGGATTGAAAATAGAAATTGGTCCAACCAGCCCAGTGGATAACACTTCCAAGCCAATCGTAACTAACAGAAGAGCGGGCCCTTGACAGAGTGTTTGACATGGTGCCCGACGACTATGGAGTCCGTGGGTTTTAGACCTCAGCTAGAGTTGGGTTAAGGGTGGCCGACGACACCTAGTAAACCGCAAACGGCCAATCCAGTTTCCCTTATTTTTGTCGGTATACTTTTCGCAACAAGTCGTAGTGAGGCTGCCTGCGAGGATCGTAGACTGTAGATCCAAGACAACACGTGATGGGGATGTCCCCTGCTTCAACTAGATCGTCAAACGCCCCCTTGGTGCCACAGTCTGCTAAAGCAGAGGGCTCATGTACAGCAGATGTGCTATCGCATGGAATGTTAACCGAAATTCCGAAATCCACTTTCACTACGAAGAGACTACTTAAGTAGGGTTGTAATATCAACTATCGTATTGTGATCATGCTGCGCGATAGGTAGCCTTTTATGATCGAAGATATTTCAGAATTGCGGTCAACATTTCATTAGGTTGCGCATCTACCGAACAGCTGGAGAACCGGGTGGCGTAGTCGCCCGTCAGGTTCAGGTGCGTTTACTGACGTAGTTGGCTTGACCTTTGAGTGAAGGTCGCCATGACTTGGCCTGTCAGGGGAACTGCATCGCCTGACCGAGTGGCCTCTAACATGAGGTGAGGAGGGGGGAGGAATGAGTCACCACTGTTGGTGGTGCTCGGTGCGCGTGATGTAACCGGACAAAATGCGGGTGTGAAGCCGGCTCGGAAATGCGGTCAGCTGACGCGGAGGCTGCCGCAACCACTGGTTAGCTACCGATCAATAAATGAATTTGTGAACACTGAGATCATATTAACTGCGTTCCAAGCACGAAATTAGGTTAAGACCTAATTTCCTAGTTAATCAGGGTAAATTGATTGGCTTAATATGGTTACCAAAAGTAACTGTCAAAATGTAAACAAATTTAGCTCTTTTTTCAACTCTCGCTGCCAATAATGCCAGTAGAGACCTATGATGCCACTGCATATGAATTCATCCCGGCGCTAAGCCCCGTTCCTATTAATAGGCCAGAGTCACTTAATTAATCTTTCTCAGTAGACGAATAATTCGCGAATTTCAGTTGGTGTTCCTCGAACCCCGGTGCCTACTAAATTAACAAATTTCGGTGTCGATAAAAGCGAACAGGCGAGCTGCAGAAAGCAGTTCAGGTGAAGATGATGATGCGATCGCCGGAGCATCCGTGCAGTTTTATCAATCAGTGCATACGCAGGCGAAACCAGAAACCAAATCTAACCGGCCGTATGTGAGAAACGTCTCGGAAGCCGTCAGCAGCCTTCTCACTCCACTCGGAGTTGGGGTTGCACACAGGCTGGAAGCAACCACCAGGCGCCAAGTCATGAGACCGAAAGATCCACTGCCACGGCAGGAAAAGCCTGGAGTCGTTTGCCTGATCTGGTGCAGTTTCGGACAGAGCAACTACGTCGGAGAAACTGGGAGATTACTCCGGGCGCGCATGGTTGAGTACGCAACAGCGGTGGGGAGGAAAGACGCCAGCTTTCAGGTAGCAGCTCATTCCACGGAACCCGGCCATATTTTCAAGTTTCAAGAGGTCGAAATCCTCGCAAGGACTGACAACCGCGTGGACCGCGAGCTGCTCGAATCATGGTTCTCAGGACCGCGATCCATCGACAAGCGCAATGACCTCCCGGTATCATATTCCTTGCTGAGACATTCCCTGAGCAGGGGGAATCAGTCGTGTGGTGAGGGCGTGGACGATCAACTATCCCGGTGAGAGCGGGCCGAATTTCCGAGTAATCATCACGCCAACATCCAACATGCATGATGAAATTGTGGCAATTAACGACTCAGGCGCAGGCTGACGAGCCATCATCGCCTTAATTTCATGCCTCAGCAGTGATCGCGAGGGCTGTTTATTATTGTACGCATGTGGTCCCACGGCAGCAGTGTTTGTGCCTCCAGTACCTTTATCTGTAACCGTCCCTGACGAGAGGTTCGAGTGAGAATCCGAAACGTCAGGTAAATAACCTTCCTGTTCACGTGATCACGGCATCATCATCATCATCATCATCATCATCATCATCATCATCATCATCATCATCATCATCATCATCATCATCATCATCATCATCATCATCATCATCATCATCATCATCATCATCATCATCATCATCATCATCATCATCATCATCATCATCATCATCATCATCATCATCATCATCATCATCATCATCATCATCATCATCATCATCATCATCATCATCATCATCATCATCATCATCATCATCATCATCATCTAGCTTTCATGCATAAATTCGTTGATTTAACCAACTTTGGTTCCACGGGCAAGAAAGACAGTAAAACAGAATCTACATAGTTCGAATGTGCCGTAATTTGTGGAAGAGTACGCGAACGTGGTTTGCTTGACGTAGTAAACTGATGCAGGCGGAAATGCGAGTCTCAGGACGCCCTTTTGGAGGAAGAGGAAGAAGAAGACACAGTTGCTGTTGTGAGGCTTTTATTCGTTTGACATTTCAGCTTCACTCTCGAATACATCATCATCATGAAGTTCGGCCATCCGTGATGAGTGAGGGGACTGTCAATCATGATAGGCATGCGGTGACGCAGCATCTCGATCCCAAAAATGACCCAAACGCGTGTGCAGACATTACCTTTATCTGATGCAGTCCCCGATGGTGGATTTGAGCGTGAATCCGAAACATCAGGCGAGTGAAACTCTTGTACCAGCAATCGTGTCGGCTTCTTTCCGAAAACGAAGACAATAACCAGCCGCCAACATTGCGGAGGTTGACAACTGCAAAAAATGCTATTTGATGGACAAAGTGCATGGGTGTAGGGGCAAAGATGCAGATTACAGGTTCTTGAAGGGGAGGGGTCGACTGCCCAGACGCGGACGCTCATCATCAAAGAAAAAAAAACAGTAAAAAACAAGTGAGATTTTGCAAGGCCCCATTACATGCTGACCGCCTGTCCTTGGTTGATACCGGGGTCGTTTCATCTTTCATCCGGAATGCGAAACTTTATGGGCCGCGTGTTGGTCAATAGGCCGACAGAGGTAAACATCTCGAGCAAGTCTCGGCCAGCCTCGTTGTCTGCCCTCGCTCCAGCACTTCTGTATACGGGGGCGCATAGTTGCTACCCCGTCTCCAGAGTGTGAATGCTGTCGACTGTCACAATTGCACCGCCCGCCTCAAATGTTTCGAAGCTCGGACACGGCAGGGTCACTCACCTGTTGCATCTGCAAGGTTGCCTTGTGGCGGCAGCGACCAAGCCTGCCCTGTCAGCTCACTGCTTGCGCAACGTGTGACTCAGTCTTCGACTCGCCGACAGAGCCCCCCCCCCAAAGCGGTCCGCTTTGGGTCAGGACGGAGGTCAACTGACAGGATAAGTCGGCCCTCCGCAGAGTCGAGATACAGGCCTCAACAGCCCTTTCTAAACGTGGCTTCTATGACACTCTCGTGCTTGTGAGATGCATACCACCTCCATGAAAGCCTGGTACGCGCCGAATGGGGATCGAGTGGTGTATGGCACGCGTAGACGGCCCGTCTACCCTTTTCAGTCACTGAACCCGAATTTAGCCCGATCGTCCTGACACTGTCTTGCCATCAGGACGGGATGGGTTGAGTTCGGTATATGCTGTGCAAGTCTGCACCAATATGTCCTAATTTGCCGCAAGTCACTGTCCTGAGTCCTCTCCGTGAGGCACACGGTGCGCATCGTCGTCCGCAACGGTCGGCCCACCGAAATTCTGACGTGGACTGATATTTTCGTCATCAACGATTGGCTGCGTTCGCGCGGGGGGCTAACAATGTCAACGGCTGGCACGCGACTTGTTGGAGTAGCTGCTACCGCTGACTCCTGAATCGTATCTGCGTTCCATTGCCGCAGTGAAGTCTGTCGGAATTGTTCCGTCGCCTTGACGTAATGTGGAAAAGCTTCCGTTGTCTACCATCGTAATTTGACAATCACACTCTCCCAAAATCGCTGACCCGCAGCCACTCGATTGACGACCTCAGCATGTAGACTCATGTGTCCAGGCCGTCAGAGCCATCCACTTTCTAAGCGACTGGACGCACGCCATCCAAACACAAGGAGACCACCCCATCAGGTAATGCCGTAGTGGGCAGCCATCATGATCGATCTGGCGTCATTGTTCAAGACCTTGCTACCTCAAGGTCATTCATCCCTTTTCAATGAGCCGTTCCAGACGCGCTGACCTGAACGCACACGACCGACAGCTCAGGCATACCAGCGTCCGCACAGCCGCAGCTACCCATGTGCCACTTGAACGTGTCGCGAGCGCTAAGGACAGAACTGTCGATCCCAGACTATGGATGTCAGGATAAGACCAGAGTTATGAAAGAATTAACAATCAAAAGTCAAACGACCTGACAACCCAACACATGCAGAGCGCGTCGCGTAGAGTTGTGTTCCTTCCATTCAGTTAAACAACCAGTAAGTTCAAGAATGAGGAACAGGTAAGGAAAGGCAAGATAGTCTGGCGCCTCGGAACTGGGACACCACCCCTCGGCAAATGTAACACACACTGACTGGCCACCACTTGAGCTTGGCCCACGAGCCTAAAAAAGCGGCTGCCACCACTATCTCAGAGACTTCCAGGCATGACTGGACGCAGTCAACACCAGTCCTGGCTTTGCCAGTGGCCACTGCTGCCTGAGAGGACAACTCCGGGTTCTGTGTACATTAAACCCCTCATCTGTCTTTCCCCTACAACTAGTGATCTGACCCGACGATGGTAGAGCACAGACAGGGACACACTCACACCGCTTGGTCACAACAATGCGAAACACGTAATGTACAGACGAGCGATCCTGACCTAGTACTGACGCCATAAGGACGCGGTCGACACCTTCCATCTCACGGTTAGGACCTGCCAGCGGGCGCCACTGAACAGTGTTCTATACAAGTTACCCACCGCAGTCTTCGAGGACCATCAATGACAGGAGATTCAGAGGTGAATTGCGCGTGAGTTAGTTTATCATAAGGAAGATTTACGCAATGCCTACTGCTATGTATCCCTGTCCCTTTCTATTCCAACAGCCACCATGCTCGATGGCAACATGTATCCAAAATGTCTGCAGATGAGCACTAACACACACCCCCGCACTTGGACAGACCGAACGTCGAGAGAGCCGTCACTGAGAACAGCTATGACGGAGGTTGTGTTGAGAAGGAACGGTTGCTGCCTGGCACTCAGTTAGCGGCGGAGTCAAGCTATCCGATGGTTGTCAGCCTTCCAAACTGTGATTATTATTATTATTATTATTGTGTCTCGATAACTTATAAGCACGTCAAGCGCATTGTAGGGGGAAACTGAGTACGCGATCCCATATAGGTCGATCATATGGCCTCTTCTTTCAACAGATGTGCCGACCAACCAGACACCCGTCAGTTTAACCGTCGCGAAGGACGGCGTCTACCGTGTGTCCGGTGGGCTCAAGACAGTGATCTGTGGATGTACTAGTGATCCCAGGCTTGCGCAGCGCCTCGCATACTCCCTCCTTCCCCACTCACCTGGGTCCATTAAAGTTGCTACGGCACAGCCGTGTGAAAGTGTGCAGTCTGAGCGCCACCATAATCAGGGCTAATCCTAGTGTTGGAAGGGAGAAGATGGAAGGCACCAGAATGAGGGGTTTATTGTGCACAGAACCCGGAGTTGTCCTCTCAGGCGGCAGTGGCCACTGTCATGCCTGAGAGTCCCTGAGACGGTGGTGGCAGCCACTTTTGTAGGCTCGTAGGTGCCAAGCGCAAATGGTGCCCAGTCAGTGCGTGCTGCACTTGCCGAGGGGTGGTGTCCCAGTGGCTTGGGTTGTGATTGCAGGGGATGGGATGCGATCAAGTGGCCGCCTGGGCAGCTGCGGCTGTGCAGACGCTGGTATACCCCAGCTGAAGTCTGTTGTGTGACTTCAGGTCAGCGCGTCTGAAACGGTCCACTGCAAAAGGGCGAATGACCTTGAGGCAGCGAGGCCCTGAACAATGGCGCCAGGCCGGTCATGATGGCTGCCCAGTACAGAGTCAGGACGAGTGGAGGTGGGATCGGACGCAGCGGGTGGCAAAGTTAAACAGTCCGTCTTCGCGTGCCACACACGCCCGGTCCACGCCTAGTGGACTGGGTTCTCACAGAAGTAGGGAGATGGCGCGGATCCCATCTGATTGGCAGTGCCCTAAAAGCCACATTAGGAGGAAGTCAGTGCAGCTGGACTTGTCATAATTGAATGCTGACGTGAGAGTTCTCAATGGTTGACAACGCGAAGAGTTCCCAGTCGTAGGTCAGGGAAGACAGGGTTGGTTTGGACAAGCTTTGCTGTTGTCCAAGGAACGTCCAGGAGGCTCAGCAAACAGTTCAGATCAGTTTATTTGAAGGAGAGTAGGTGTGCACGTTTGAAATCCCTATTTGTTATACGCAAGGGGAATTCGGAAAGGGAAATTGGAAAGAGAGTAACAGGAAAAAATACAAGGAAATTAGCCAAACCTGTGCAGATGGAGACAGTATTTCGTGCGTTAACAGTATTTGCTGGCATTTGTACTCGGTTTGGTGATTACTAAAATAGGCATTTTAAGGTCACCTAAGCCACAGGGAAAGTGATAAGATTAGTAGTCTGTTAGCATCTTGATGAAAGCGAGCAGTGGTGTGCGTCTTAGTTCAAACATTAGTAAATTTTATAAACAAATGTTACTTAAGTATTGCATTAAATTGATGACAGGCAGTAGCGGTCGGGTGGCATTGTGGTGTGTACTGCAATGCTGGTCTAGCTTAATTTTAAAGGTTTCCACAGGTTCCTGTGAGCAACCAAATAGTAGAAACGTTACTTGAAAGCGGAGTTCAATAGCAGGGGATAGTATACTTCGTTGAGTCGAGTTGACCCCTAAGTAGATCTAAAACACCTTTTTTGGTGGCCAGAAAATAGTGAATAACTAATTTTTTAGGTATGTCGTTCTATGGGGCCGGCCTTGCGGGTAGACTGCCACAGCAATCAAACCGGAAACTAGGTTGAAATTACAGGTCAAGTTATACCTATGCCCATCAGTCCATAGGGTACAGTAGATAGGGCCATATCTGCATCGGTAGAATTCAAACAGTATGTCGAACAAAATATCGATTTTTAAAAAGGCCTTATAGGGTCGTTTTGGTCAACATTTATTGTTATTTTTAGCTTTCGGTGTTACTAACATCAGAAAACTAATTATTACACTCAGATAGAGCTCAGACGCCAATATTTTCGTTTGAGGAGGGCTCGTCAACCAGTCTGTCAAACGAAAGAAATGCCCTCTGCTCATTCAACCTGCAGCCAGCAGACAGAGCTGGCTCTATAATGGGTACGGAAGATGACTGCGGAGGAATTTTCAGTCGATTCAGTTTATTTGGTAGGGATAATAGGTAATGCCTATGAAAACCCTATTGCCTACATGCCGGCTCGTTAGATATAGCTTACACGTACAGTGGAAATTATTACAATAAACACCGTACTTGCATGTTTTAAGTAGTATTGTTTTTTTAAATTGTAGTATCCACCTCCGACATAGCTAGCTTCGTCTCCTCAGATCCAGAAACCGGGTTCCTTATTCACTGAATTCTGTAACAAACCCTCTACCAGGGAAATGGAGGCTCCCATCCTGCTGGTTATAATGACAGATAATTCAGTCCATATTGAAATGACGTTCGCCACTAACACTGTTGGCAGAGCGAAATTGACGCGGACTCGGAAGGTTGGAGTGGTACTTTCAGGCTAATTTTAGGTCGTCATCCAGGCATAACTCACTCTTAAGTCTGGCGGACCTGGGGGTCAGACCTTCCCTTCGTTGATTCTGGGATGGACCTCGAGGACGAAACCCATTTAATTAATTTACTCTTACAAGCAGGATGGATCAATGAACGCCACACCCTAGTGACAGTCTTGACTGCATGTCAGTAAGCCTAGAAGATTGCATAGTAAGGCTTTCCTACTTTCGACTCGAGCTCTTCCAGCGATCGCTTCTTCTTCTTCTTCTTCTTCTTCTTCTTCTTCTTCTGATCAACTAGTTCCTGGAACTCGCATCTTCGCTTGTATCTTTCAGAACTCTCCACCAACCTCCAACAAATTTACACTGGACTGGTTCCCTTCAATCTAAAGCCCGACAATCATATATTCGGACGGAAACGCCTACTACACCTGTTTGAGTAGTACATTTTCATGACTAACAGTAAGTAAGCAAGAGACAAAGTACATCTATCCAGGG